ATAAATACGGTATATGCATAAACAGTGTCTAAACAATCTAGACTGGGTAGATAAGCCAAGAAAGCTAATAAATATTCATGTGTAAAACAATTAAAATAATATTCTTTTTTTTTTGGGTCAGGTTGAGACAAGTTGATGCTTGACCTGATATAAAACCATAGTTTTAATAACTATTATTTTGTTCTTAACAAATTTGTTTGACTTTAATTTTTATATTTCTCATTCAAATGCTTTACTATTTTTCATTGGCAAATTAATTATGTCTATGATTAATTATGTTATTATGGTGAAATAAATGCTGAAGAAGTAATAGGTATATAGAAATGTGTATTAGCGCTACATTATGATCATTAAACTCTCATTGAGAGGCTGGTGTTCACATGTCAAAACGTACAAAAACAAAGTTTTAGAGAGTGTGGCCGAGAGATGAATAAAATAAAATTATAGTATAAACAGAGTAAAGTTATGCTTTTGTATGTACGAAATTAATTATTAAATATTATTTATATACTAGAATAAAATAAAAACTTAATAAGGTTCTGTGCATTTCATACAAGAGTCCTATAAATTTGCATTTTAATTTTATTCACTTAACTTCATCAAATTTATGTAAGTGTCTTACTTGAATGGCTTGTAACTTATTCCGGCATTCCTTCACATCACCGGTAGGACTACAATTGTTTTCATAAATTCCCTTGATTTTCTCAAGAATGTCTTGAAAGGACTGAACACTGTTATCGAAATCCTGATGATCATTAACATCACTCTGAGTAGAATCATGACACTCCTATGACAAAAATAAAATTTATATGAACCACACATTGTACAATGAAGGAGGAAATTCTCTAATTTGTTTTAGCTGGGATAAGCATAAAAATGGCTCAGCAGGCTAAAGAGAATTTAATTTTACATTGAGGGCTGCACACAAACTTAGACATTTTATAGTAAAGATCTGACCCATCCAGTATGCTAGTAAAAATCTTCAAATCTTCTAATAAAATGTTAGTGAAAAAACTACCTTAAGCTGTGTTGTGATTGAGTTAAACCTCTTGATAAGTTTAGTTTTCTTGGGTCTAGCCCCAGCGTATGAGCAACTGTTTGTAACCATCTCAGCTTTAACTTGAATACTTTGTACAAAAGGTTCAAAGGTTGTGACAGACTTCTGCAGATCCTATTAATAAACAAATGAAATAAGAACAGTAGTTTTGTTAGTAGTACTAACGAAATTTAATGAAACACAAGCTTTTGCTAGCTGGAGCTAGATTCATCATTCGAATGAATTAAAGAAGACAGGCTCAAACTGTTCATTCAATTTATGTAAATGAGTAACATAAACAAAATATAAACAGAATGGCTGGCTGGAACAGGCCTGGGATAAACAAAGAGTGGATGATAGGTCTAATAAAGTGGTAGAAAATTACAAGTACTGTAAAAACAGGCATGTGGAAATGATATAGTAGCATAAAAAAATCATTCATCGGATAACGATATAATAAGAGCATAATAATAATTAAATATAATAGAATATTATAATAAATATTGATATAAAATAATATTGCATCCATGGTAAATAATATAACTATCCATAAATTGTGATAATAACAACGC